ATAATAATAATAATAATAATAATAATAATAATAATAATAATAATAACCATGGATAAGAACACGGAAAAGACAGAAATTAATACATTTGAAGTTTATCTTCCAGCAACTGTAACATTCGAGAAAGGAGACTTCAGTTTCTGTTCAAACCGATTGTTAAGGCCTGTGTCTCACAAAATAGTACATGTGAAACAACAGTGTACCTAATAATACTGCAGAATAAGCCGTTGGTGTGGATAAAAAGAGAGAAGATAGAAGCGAAGTTCCCACTAGCCACACCAGATGTCACTATCGATCATGCTTCGTCCTGCGCAGGTCCGGCGTATCAAGAATTTTAATGCTTCTATCAGTACCTCAAAGCGAATTTCCAGGACAGAGCGTCTTCGTCCTGCGTCCCTCCCAATTCATCAATTACTATAATTCAATATTTTGGATTTACGTAAAGTTCCTACCGTAAATGCAGGCAGTTGCTTCAAAAGATTGGTGGCCACCTGCCAGACTACATGGTATTATAACCTTTCTTGAGAAGTCGCCAGTTGCGCAGCTACTCATGAATTTCCCAGCATTTTATGGAACCCGAAAGTTCATTACGACATTCACAAGAGCCCTTCACCAGTCACTATCCTCAGCCAGATTAATCCAGTACATACAACCCCATTCTATTTCTTTAAGAACCATTTTAATATTGTGACGTGTTGCGCTATGCAGGACACCCTCCCCCCTCCACTTATGCCTAGGTCTTCCTATTGGTCTCTTTCCTTCTGGCTTTCCAACCAATATCCTATACAGCTACTGCTCTCCGCATTCCAGCCATTCAACTGCTCTGAAGATGAAGGCGCTACGTTCCTCCGAAACGTCGGCCAACACGAAGAATACACGGTGCCTAAACCCAGAAGACGACTCTCTTCATTGTCATCGCCGTGAAAACCTCAAAACTTACATAAATATCCTATATACATTCCTATTCTCCTCCACTCGTGCTACATGCCCTGCCAATCTCATCTTCCTTGACTTGATCATTGTAATAATATTTGGAGAAGAGTACAAGTTATGAAGCTCCTCATTATGCAGTTTTCTCAACTTCCTGTCACTTCATCTCTCTTCAGTCCTGATATCTTCCTCAGCACCCTGTTCTCAAGCACCCCCAGTCTGTGTCCTTCCATTATTGTCAGAGACAAAGTTTCACATCCATACAGAACCACAGGCAAAATTATAGTTTTGTTATAACCTACGAGATCATAATAAGTATTTTTAACATAGAGAAACTTAAAATCTTATCTGTAAGCAATAGGCTGCCTCCGAAACCTCTGGGACTATCCACCTCACCATTCAGTGACATAAACCAGAAGAATGAGTGTGGAAACCTCAAGTCTATTCTGTACATGTCCGTGTGTGTACTTACATCATTCCATCTCTTCGTCTGATTGTCCAGACACAAAGCATTTTAGCACATGAGTGTCGTATGGTTCTTCAGTCGTGTTTTATGGTCGCTTTTGAAATCGTTCTAAAATGCCGGCCCAGCTGAGTGAGCTGCTCTTCTTTGTGGCCAATTCAACTGAACACAACGTTCTGAACTACACGTTAATATTTCGTGACCTTATTTTGAAAATGGCTGAATACAACTAATCTGCTTTCTTTTATCAAGAAGATATGGGCATACCTGTTCGTTAGCCTGCCTGGCCTCAATTTTCCTACAAAAATTACAACTCAGATAACTTTCGTGTGGGCATATTTCCTTCGGATGTTTCATTCGGATTCTCAACTGAATAACACCATTGTTACGTATTGTGAGGGTACTGCGTTCGAGTCTCGTCACTCCTTCCTGACTGAGATCTTTATGTCTTCCCCAGTATCTCCATGAAAATGCCGAACAGTGCAGTTGCGTCAAGAATAAATATTTTCTGAATTGCGTGAGAGAAAGAGGGAGGTATAGTAGAAGAGAGATGAAAGCGAAAAATCATCTGATAAAAATATTTTGTTTTCGGACGTTACCCAGCGTCTTGTCAGAGAAGAGTTGGCGCTATAGTTCAGTTGATAAGAGTTCCGCACGGGCGGCTATGACAAGAGGACCTGAGCACAGGAAAGCTAAAGAGTACCCACTGCTAGAAGCCGTTGCCAGGGAGCGGCTGGTGAAGGCACAGATGTCTGAATAAGACCTAGCGTGTAGTGATTTGTGAATTGCAGGTATCAGCGATGGCGCTGTAATTGCTTTTAGTATGGAGCCATGTGCATGTCACTAAATCTATTCACAAATCCCTACTCCGCCCTTACCAGTTCTCCTAAATTGTGAATGTGAACATGGGATTCCCTTATTTCGGCCGTGAATTCTGAGGGCCGTGTCATATCCCGGGCTGTTGGGTACCGGCTTCTTATCGGAGGGTCTCGAGTTCCTTCCCGGGTGACTTCATACGAAATTCAAAGCAGATAAATTGCAACTAGAAGAGTGTTTTCTGAAACTTTCTTCGGGTTTTCCCCGTTAATCATCATTCCACCATTACTCCATACACACGTATCACTGTCTCTGAGGTTTGATAGCCCTGATGAAGTAGCACGTTGTCACAGCCTCGGGGTGTAAGTTTGCGACTTGACCTCTGACCCGACACTTGACTGGCTATAAAGCGACGAGTCTGAGATTCTGGCGTCATATTTATAAAATACGGAATAATAATAATAAGCGCTTTAAATGCCTAAAATTTACCTAAGCTATAAGTACACAAAATGGGATCAATGCATACTCGTAGAAAAATATTATTTATTTCAAAGCTTAACTGAATGAAATTAAGCGCTGAAGAATGCCGTCTTCTGGCATATGGCGCCGTGTAGATATTTTGTTAACCGAAATTTCGAAGGAACGTATCGCTTCCATCTTCAGGGTGTAAGAAATCTACAAACGATGAACAAACTGTTATAATTCAATGAAGTTATTAAAGAATATATATGACACATTAAATAAGCTGCCAGATTAGATAGAATGAGGAATACGACAAGTTGTATAACACTGTATAACATTGTGACATGTAGAGCCGTTGCTGGGCAATGACAGCGAGATAATAAAATGTAAAACAGTCGTGCGGTCCGCTTCGAGATGTTTAATTAAGCAGGGCAGTTAGTTGAGAATCGACAGTTGAAACAATGAATTAGTTCTGAGATAGTCACCACCTGGTGACCACGGACGCAGGGAACATTGTTGGGATCCGTCACCAGACAACGACTGGTGAAGACATAGCACACAAAAAAGACTTTATGTGTACTGTAGCTACAGTGATCTTTAGAGTGTGTAACTCAGTGAGACTATCGTAGTTATTTATAACGTTCTGTAAGTGTTCAATAAATCCGGCCATCAATCCAAACCCCGTCTATAGTCACACACACAATACACTGTATAATATTATCAGACAAATATATTCGTTCAGAGCTTATGCGTGTTGGCAGGGATGGAGTGAAGTACAGGTGAACAAAACGGCCGCTTTGCGGAGCACCTTCAAACACCTTTAATTCATTTTGCACTTTGTTAAATGAAATCAAATTTCTCGTTTGTCCGTATCATGTCATGAAACAACGTAAATAAAAGCGTTTTAAGAACTATGACACCAATGATTGTTGTCACAGCGTCTGGGAATTTCGTGTTACTGTGACGAATTTTTACAGGGAAGAGGCGGCATATCTCGTCACGTGGGTGGCATTTGCGCTTGCGCCGGTCCTGTGTGTACGTACTGAAGAAACGTGTGGTGTAACTGTTAATTAAGGATCCAAACAAAAGAGTATGTGTCGTGATGTAGCACCTGCTAAATCCATGTTGCAAGACTCAAACTTGAAGCACCTAGCGAATGGCTGGGTTACAGTGCCTTCAGATCATGATTTTTGGGATTTGAGGTAGTGTAGATAGGTTCTACCCTTCCGGGGGAATTTAATGCATTTTTTTTCGCGGTAGTTCTAAGTAAATATTTAAGAAAGTACACAGAAACACTTCCCAGGGGACTACGATGTTATTATTAATTTCTGTGAAAACGTAGAATTCGCTTAGAAAATACTTCTGGCCTATATTAAACCTCTGAAGCGTAAGACTCGACTAAATTTAACTCTTTAAGCCCTACCTCACAGGAAACACCGCGTCTCCTGTCTTGCTTACTGCAGTTCAGGTAAATAATATGTACATTGTGAGAAGCAAACGAGAAGCGCGAATTAACTCTGTGGATACATTTCAGAGTTCTTCTAATGTTCAAGCATATCCTCTTTATGCTAACCTCTGCGACTTCTGGGATTAAGAAATATATGCACTTACTCTTGTAAAGCTAAAATCGTGAAGTTGT